GCGTCGAAAATCAGAGAGAAAAATGCATGCTAGTTAATTAGTCATTTTTCACAGAGTACAGTTTTTGCATGTGGCCGGATGGAAGTTCGATCGAAAGACAGCATCCTGCGGTAACTGAATTATTATTGAATTATGCTGCAGGATGATTAGTTTTACAACCCTACTTAAGTAATCTTTTCGAGTCAAAAACGCATATCGGAATTTCGGTTGACAGTGTTTGAGTTAGCCCACCTACTGTAGGTCAATATTTAATGTCCTACCTTCTCTGAGGTGTGGGTGGCTTCCATGTGCGACATTTGGGGATACTAGCCTAGCAGGCAGTTTAAGGGAAATGCGCTCGACAGTGCTAGATCGATGCCTAAAGCGGTGAGAACAAGTGAGAGGTTAAAACACTCTCCTCGCGCACTCTTTTTCTGGCACGGCAAGGAATGGCTGGCGCGTTGAGCGCCGTGGCGTAGCTACGCCAGATCGCCCCCCTCTCCATTCCCTACAGTCGCGTCTAGTTTCCACTGGCAGAGCGTGGTTACGGGCTACTCCTGCTGCGTTGACTTTGTCAGCCGCGATCCGACTGGCTTCGTAGGTCGCCATTACATTCTTTCAGCAATTGGGTCCTGGACGAGGCTCTTTCGGGCATTCACTAAGGATTTATAGACTTTTGAGGAAGTTTCGCAGGGTTTCGTCGTACCTTCATGAAGGATGTCACAGTTTACAAATGATTTTTAACCACTGGCGAACCGGCATAAGCGGATAAACTACAGCTCGGAAGTAATGCGAAGCGACTTTTAACAAGTCAGAAACACAGAAGAAATATTAAGATTTATAATTTACGTTGTTTAGAAATACCAACGTTTTTAGAAAAGCGGAAAATTCCGAGAACGCTGAACTTCATTTTAAATGAGTAAACCGACGTTTTAGATGCACAGAAAGCCTGCCCGTCCAAAAACGGAGTAGAAGAAATAGTACTTTATGGGAGTTTGAACTGGAATATCCTTGAATAATAAGTTGAATGACACGTATAACAGGTAGCCAAAAGCCTACAGTTTGAGTAGACAGCATAACATTCTTTCACAATAACCAACTGTATATTTCCCGATTTTGTAATTTTATAATTGTAGTTGATTAGGACAAACAGGTGTTAGTTCGGGTTCGTCGACAGGGTCTCTACACGAATAACATTCTCCATGGCATCACAAGTAGACAGGCCGGTCATTAATGGATAAATTTAAATAGCAAGCTCAGGAGCAATCCCAAACATATATTTTGTGCATTTTAGGAGGAGGTTCCTTCCGTCGAATTTATATATATTTACGTTTGGTGCTGGAACACGATACGTTTCAGATCATTCTTGAAGTTGCCATGGATACTTCACGATTTTCAATAGTTTATCGAGTGGCCATAAATAGGAATTATTTGTCTGAGCTTTCAAACTCCTAAATAAATCCACCACTAAGGACTGTGTAAGTGCAAAACCAATGAGTGAACATTTTTCTAATCGAGCTTAGAGGGAGGAGAGGGAGGGTGGAGGGTTAGTGTCTGCGAGTGTGTCGGGTTCGAGCTGCGCGGCTCACAGTGGTGTGGTGACGCGTGCGACTGTCGGGGGAAGCGGGCCGCGCCACCTGGCTGCGTGGTCGTAGCACAACTCAATGTAGGCAGAATGGCATTACCGACAAAGCCAAGGTAGACTGGAATGGCCATTTCTGACTTATTAGCCGTCGTCAGCCAGCCATACCCAACCCCAAAGTGTGCAACACCCGGGGCTCGAACTCGCGACCTGTTAGTTAGAAGTCCACGTCTCTAATCACTGGGCACAACGGAACGAGTGAGTTTCGTAAAAATGATCGGTGAGCGCCTCCTACTTCAAATCAGTGCGCAGCCGAACTCTTGGCCTTCCTCCAGCGCGTGTGAAGCGACTTGGGACAGTGGATCGCCTCTCCAAACAGGCCGTTTGTGTATTCGCGATCCAGGACGTTATCTTGTTTGGCCTGCACAATGGCATGGACAATTCTGGCACGGAATTTGGTGACCTACGACGGGGACTAGATGGCAATTGGCGCAACCTTTGCGCGTATGCCTCCCCTGTCCTGTTGAGGGTGCAGCCATTCGCAAACAGTAGGTCGTGAATGCTGGTCTGGAATAATCTTGCGCCTGCTCGCATGCACCGGGTGTTGAGTAGTTGTCAGTCAGGTCAGCGGTTGATGTTGATCCCTGGCGGTTCCTCACAGTAGACGTCTATGAGTACAGCAGAGATCATGAGACCGAAGAGGGTGGAAAGGAGAAGAATCTCGGCTTTATCTCATTCGCCACTGATAACGCTTCTAAGACTGCCGCATTATCTGTGAGAGACGACGGTAAGATGTGGTTTGGTAGCCCCAGCTGATGGACACAATACTGTTGAGGTTGATGTTAACGGCTAGGGCCAGGAGTTAGGGTTAAGGGCTAAGGTTAGGGTTTAATGTTAGAGGTCAGGGTTAGGGTTTAGGATTAGGGGTTGGGGTTAGGGTTATGGTTAGGGGTTAGCGCAACTATTTCTCATCCATTCAACGTAAAACAGTGCATTTCCTATAGCTTTTCTTTGGCGTACATCTACATGCCCCTTTCACCTGTACGTTACCCCAGTCCCACCTGTAAAAAACCCTTTTACCACCGGTCCCGTATTTGAGGTTACTGGGGTTTTCTTACTTCTGGTGGGGCTACCAATCCGCATGCGGCCCAGGCGACATCACTTCGTCTTGTATTTTTCGCATCATGCGGGTAAAACGTCTTGGGCACTGGAATTTCAGCCTTATCCGCCGAAGTCCGTCACAGGTCTCAGTGTAGAAGGCCTTCTTCAGATTTCCAAGGGGAATGCAGGGACTGATTTATGCCTTCCGGCACTTCTGCACTCCCCGGAGCACGACAATCAGTTCGATGATGCCACGATCATTTAAAAATCCACATTAACTGTCCGAGTGGAGTCCATACTCCAGGCAGTTGTTGTTATGATTGGGGAGCATGCGAGTAAGACCTGACCGGCAATGTTGAGGAGCGGTTGACCTGTTGCGTTGTTAGATGTGCAAAATGGTAGCGATCCTCGGGTCCTGAGGGATATGTCCTTGCTGCCACACGTCTGGGCCAGTGATGGGAGCTAGTTTATCGGCCGCGAGTCGCAATGTTTGCAGACTCCATCCGTAATTACATCGGAGTCCTATGTTTTTCTAATAAGGCCTGTTAAATTTTGACTGTTTCTTGAGGGCAAAGCGGGCGTTCCATGGCGTAATCGGTTTCCACTTTGGAGAGATCGGCCGATGTCGTTTTCGGGCGGACGGTTGAGGACGATTTTGAAGCTGACAGCTCAGCTCTCCAGAATCTGCGTTATCTCCATGAGGAGTTTGGGTCCCTTAGAAATGAGAAGCGGCGTGGTTCCTTTAGTGCGGTGACAGTAGACCACCTTGACTGAGGCAAGCGAATCCTTCATATCGTTGCAGTTCGCGTGATCTTGTATTTCTTCAGCTCTGCTACGCAAGTTTTTTGCATCTACCACAGTCGCTGTTGCACCGAGCGCGAGAACGGGAGGTAGCAACGCTGTCTGTGTCGGTTGCACGATGGTTGTGGGATATGTTGCATAACAGACGTTTGCTGATGTCTGGCGGTGGAAGAAATTGCACTCCGTAGTTGGCGCTTCTGTGTCTCCAAGCAGGCATCCTCTTTCAGGGCTTGCATTTCTTCCAGGCCGAGGGCCAATTAAATGCTGAAATCTGGTGATAGCCTACCTAATAGAAAGGTAGTTGTCTTCCGAGAGCTATTGTGGCATCCCTACAGACAGTTTCGCCCTTCTGTAAAGTTATTTTTTTATCTTGTCCACTGCACGGGTAGCTGAAGGGATTTTGTTTTTTTTTCATTGCATCTAAACCGTCTTCTGATAACTCGACCACTTTTTATTTGTCCAGGGATTTTCGAAGAGAAAGTTCTCACCTAGCATAGTTCCACGTCCCAAAAGTATCGTCATTTTTGCCTAAAGTGTGTCCCGTTATACTCTGTCTTTCTTGTACTTTTTCGTGTAACTCATGCGAAGTCCGTGTTCCGATACTTATAATAATTTTCTTTGTAAATCGTACAGCGTTGGCCCGTCACGGGACTCGTCGGATTCGCTCTTTTCTCTGGCTCAAATATGCAAACGCCTGCTCCCCTTCAGTTATCAAAGCTACTCGCCGTAAAAAAAAGAAACTAAGCCTTACTGGTCACAATGCGGCCTAAACCAGCGGTTAATCATCGGCTGATATTCTCTTACTGACGGCGTCCGCCGAAACGTTAGAGTCATCAGTCGGTACTGCCAGCTGATATTTTTCACGTGAGGCTTTAGTGCGGGCTCGCATGCGTCCCAAACAAAATTACTGGACGTCCATATTTTATGCAGTGGGCTTAATCGTACGAGCATCCTGAAAGATTTTCGGCTCACATACTTTATTAAAGTCAGCCAGCCAGCTATTTTCACAGTCAGCTTATCCCTAAAAGTGATTTATGCAAGATGTAATTTTATGCGGATGCCGTAAACTTAGCGCTTGAATTAAAACAATTCGGCCAAAGTCCGTCACAGGTCACAGTGTAGAGGGCCTTCGTCAGATTTCCATGGGAAATGTAGAAATTGATGTATGCCTTCCGGCACTTCTGCACTCCCCGGAGCACGACAATCAGTTCGATGATGCCACGATCATTTAAAAATCCACATTAACTGTCCGAGTGGAGTCCATACTCCAGGCAGTTGTTGTTATGATTGGGGAGCATGCGAGTAAGACCTGACCGGCAATGTTGAGGAGCGGTTGACCTGTTGCGTTGTTAGATGTGCAAAATGGTAGCGATCCTCGGGTCCTGAGGGATATGTCCTTGCTGCCACACGTCTGGGCCAGTGATGGGAGCTAGTTTATCGGCCGCGAGTCGCAATGTTTGCAGACTCCAACCGTAATTACGTCGGAGTCCTATGCTTTTTTAATAAGACCTGTTAAATTTTGACTGTTTCTTTGGGGCTAAAACGGACGTTCCATGGCGTAATCGGTTTCCATTTTGGAGAGATCGGCCGATTCGTTTTCGGGCGGACGGTTGAGGACGATTTTGAAGATCGCAGTCCAGCTCTCCAGAATCTGCGTTTTCTTCATGAGTAAATTGAGTCCCTCAGAAATGAGCAGCGGCGTGGTTACTTTAGTGCGGTAACCATAGACCACATTGGCTGAGGTAAGCGAATCCTTCATATCGTTGCAGTCCGTGTGATCTTGTATTTCTTCAGCTCTGCTACCCAAGTATTTTGCATCTACCACAGTGGCCGTTGCACCGAGCATGAGAAAGAGTGATAGCAACGCTGTCTGTGTCGGCTCCACGATTGTTGTGGGATATGTTACATAACAGATGTCTGGCAGTGGAAGAAATTGCACTCCTTAGTTGGCGCTTCTGTGTCTCCAAGCAGGCATCCTCTTCCAGGGCTTGCATTCCTTCCAGGCCGAGGGCCAATTAAATGCTGAAATCTGGTGATAGCCTACCTAATAGAAAAGTAGTTGCCTTCCGAGAGCTATTTTTTTTATCCCTACCGACCGTTTCGCCCATCTGGGAAGTTATTTTTTTATTTTTATCTTGTCCACTGCATGGGTAGCTAAAGGGATTTTGTTTATTTTCATTGCTTCTAAGCCGTCTTCTGATAACTCTACCACTTTTTATTTGTCCAGGGAAAGTCTCACCTAGCATATTTCCACGTCCAAAATGTGTCCTCATTTTTGCCTAAAGTGTGTCCCCTTATCTTCTGCCTATCGTGTACTTTTTTAAGTAACTCATGCGAAGTCCGTGTTCCGATACTATTAATAATTTTCTTTGTAAATCGTACAGCGGTGGCCCATCAGGGGACTCGTCAGATTCGCTCTTTTCTCTGGCTCCAATAGGCAAACACCTGCTCCCCTTCAGTTATCAAAGCTATTCACTGTAAGGAAAAAAGAAACTAGGCCTTACTGATCACAACGCGGCCTAAACCAGCATGTTATCATCGGCCGATATTCTCTAACTGACGGCGTCCGCCGAAACGTTTGAGTCATCAGTCGTCACTGTCAGCTGAGATTTTTACATGAGACTTTACTGCGGGCTCGCATGCGTCCCAAATGTTGTCAACAGATTAACAGGACGTGCATATTTCATGCAGTGGGCTCAATCTGACGAGCATCCTGAAAGATTTGCGGCTTACATACTTTATTAATGTCGGCTAGCCAGCTATTTACTCAGTCAGCTAACCCCTAAACGTGATTTATAAAAGATATAATTTTATGCAGACGCCATAAACTTAGCGTTCGAATTTAAACATTTAGTGAGAACTGGTTAAAAAAATATAATTATTTAAACACTCCCTTTTTCCGCATGGAGTAAGTCTATTTAATTCACTTTGACCCAACTGTGCAAAACTCAACGTCGAGGTCTTCACAGGTGGGTCAAAGAGAATAATTTGAAATTTACATGTTTTTCCCGGTTATTCTTTCTGTCTGCATTAACCGCAGCACATTTCACTCGGTGAATGTATGACTCACGTATCTTTTTACCTTCCTAATTGTTTTATATGTTTTACGCAAGAATTAAACCTAAGCATACGCTGCATGCCGATATCAGAAGGAACCGGTCTTTATATCAGCTGCAACTTGATCCAAAATGTCTAAACTGAAATCACCCATTCGGCTTTGAATTTTATAATAGCACTAACTCACACTTGTGTGAGGCTTCTTTTGCCAGAATAATTGTTTCAATTTCTGTTGCATGTACTCTTCCGCAATTGTATGGGATCTTCTTACATTTGGCTACTTTATTCCCATCGTGGCATAAAGCCATCAGCAGTGATTATTCAGTTGGTATAAAACCTGATTTTAGAAGAATTACTCGAGAGTTAAATCGGGCTCTCTTGTCTTCCAGTCATTCAACATCATAGCCTGCAAAATCTGGACCACCATGTTGTTTGTTAAAATGCTCTTGCACTTTAGACGTCTTCAGATTTACTTTTGAAAAGACAGCGCCACAATGTGTGCACTGGGGTTTTTACACATCGTCTGTTGTTCCAGTGCAAGCGAAATCAAACTTCATATAATCATTATTCCAGTTTTTTCTTCTTGACATCATAAAGCGTAAATGACAACTGAAGAAATATAACCTAAAATATGGATCAAGAAAAACAACAATTAGTAGGCAGTATTACACAAGTATGCTGAATATTTATCAGATACAGGACTGGGATGTGCTAACTGGCGTAAAACGATTAATTAGTATATATGGCGTTACAAAATGCGAATGGTGTCAGGAATATGCGAGGAAACATCTGCTATGGACGCAGACGCAGGAAATCTGTTTTGCACGCGCAGAAATTTCGTGCGGGTAGTTATTGAATACTTATTTATTTAAAGAAAATTAAATACTATCTCGCACCCCAAGGGGTGTAAGCACTCCTGGTTGAAAGCCCCTACGTTAAAAAGATGAGAGAGGATTTTTGGAAGTCTAGCGTTGGCAGAAACCGCATGCTTGGCTCGTTCCTCCACAGTGCCACGTTTGTAACCACAATTGAGGAACCAAATATAACTCACATGTGTTTCTTTCGCCAATCAACCTACCAGGACGGGAAAATTCCGAATTGCAACCAGCAGTGACAAGAGAAAAGGAACAGTCTATTTCTGGCGTACCAGCTCCCCCCGATCAACGATTCCAAATTTTGTTACCTGAGGGGTCCAGGGCAATAGCGTAGTGTCGTTAGACGTCATGCCTAACAATCTGGCAGTCAGCTTTGGGCTCTCATCGTGTCTGCTATTATAAACTTCCTCTAGCACGAGGACTTTTAACGGTCTGACTTAATGGTTTCCTTTCACCTGGATTGTCGCGTCCAGCCCAATGGCACCCAACGACTCAAATAGTATTTCATATTGACTCAAATGTGAAAAACGCCTCGGTGGGATTCGAACCCACAACAGTAAGGGGAAGGTTTTAGTACAACCAACGCTCTTACTACCTGAGCTACGTGAACTCGCCGCGCGACAAGAGTTTTTTCACATTTGGGTTAAGTTGCCCGCCCAACCTACTGCAAGGTCTGGAATCCACCAAATCTGATAGAGTAATTTGACTGCCCAAGCAGGATTTCCTAAGTAGTTCACATAGAATCCACCAAATGACTACCAGGCTCACGTAATTCATAGATGTTTCGGCAGTTTCTGAATAGTATTTAATTGACGGCGTTGTATTCGCATGACTTAATGTTCCACATCATATCTGCCACCCAAACCCTCTAGTTTCTTATACGAATCAATTGACCTCAGCATTCAATTAACTGTATCACGAAACTTGAAATCGAGTTTATCGTCGGTATGCACTTCCTATCACAGAAATACGCATGCAGACAAACTCATTCATTTTCTCCAAATTCCGCAATCATTATCATTACAAGAGAAAACCGCGGATAGTTTGAAGCCATCTGCTAGGGAACGAATGACTGGACGCGGTATATAGGCCCAGTAGGGGTATCTCAATAGCCACTGCACTTCTAATACTACTTTTCACTAAGATCTCCACACCGCGGCTTAAAGTCTAGAATGTTCGCACCAAACCAAGTGGCTGGACACCATGAGAAGATGGGTCAACCGATAGTTCACTTGGCTTATCGGCGGTTTTCGTCAAACTTCAAAGCTCTAAGTTGTCTGACTGGCAGACTGGAACACATGATTGGAATTAGACCACAATTTCTCTTACCTTTGTTAGTCATACTGAAACACAATTCTTGATTTTCTGACTATGCGCTCGTATGTTCTTCGGGTTTTCGTGGCGTGCAAAAGAGCACGGAGCGCTTATTAAGGAGCATATCTGAAGTAAGACAGGGACAATAACACAGTATTTTGCTTTCAGCTAGTACCTATGTCTCCTAGACTTGGCATTACGCAATTATTCCGAAGAAGTGTGCTGTGATTGCGTCGAGTGTCCGTTGAGATTTCAGGCTTGACTATAATATGTCATGCCCAGGGCATTTAACATTATGTCCATCACTTCAGACGAAATTAGGCAATGTAAAAAGTAGTTAACATTAGACAAGGCCTAACACTTGGTTTCTGCGGTTGGTCAAAGCTCAGTCTTTACAAGACTTTAAAGTCAGTGGTTTATGATACATTTTCACCTTTAATTACTCCAAGAACTAAGATTGTAAGTATAAACGCCATCCTCAGTTAATTTAGCTCGGGGTTCTGGAAGCAACGATCGATATTAATAATTACGTTTGCATACATGAGGCCAGACCCTGTGGAGTTGCTGCCTTTCGCTCCTGCATTTATGGGCAGTCAGGATTTCTCTCGAAAAGTCAATAGCAACCTACAGGCGTCTCAATGAGGAAAACACCAATCAAACTAATATGACCTCTTCCACTTCCCAACGCGCACATTTCGAGTCAGTCGGAGTCAAGCAGGTGGAGGGGTGCGCACAACAGGAAATTCACTTCTCGAGTTTGCAATCTATTGGACTACAAATCGCTCGAGGCACTCAGTGACTGAGTCCAAGCCATTCGTGATTCTGAAAGTGTTTGCAACTCAGTCTGCGTCTTGTTTGTTGATAAGGTTTTAAAAATACCACATACCCTCCCGTCAGCTGTAGTTACTTTAATAAACCTCCTTTAGCGTAATGAGCAAACACGCTATAATTTTGAAAAGGGCCTCAAAAGCATATAGCAGATAGTACAGTCTAGAATGCAATCTGGAAGGGCCAAAGATGAGAAGTTGTAGAAAACAAACTCGCGACATATCCTCAGAAACTGGGGGGCCGGAGTTTCCTCAATAAACAAGAATTCGAATCTCTCGATTCCACTAGCACAAGCCTTCCCCCTCCCCGAGGCCTCATGGTCTACCACAAATTCCCAAACCCGGCCTTCCTATGCGATCGATAACGAACATGTAGAATTCGCCTTATCGCTCAACTGCAAAGCGGTCAATCGAAACATGTCAGTCGATGTGGAGCAAGGCAGCACAACAAAGTCTAGGGGTCACTTTTGCATTCAAGGATTCAATAAGATATGCGAAGAAAAAACGATGTTCTCCCTAGATGCCGCCTTCTATTTCTCCAGAGTTCCATTCAAAAAGAACTAACCTTTTTGTGTGATGGGATTCTTAAGAAGGATATCCCACTGAGTATAACAGTTGTAACCTTAGAGGAACCAGTCCTTCGCCGAGTACTGAGTGCTCAATTCAGATTCGATGGTCAATTGTGTTGCGAGTTTGACGGCTTGGCGATGTGATCACCATTTGGACCCCCTACTGACGGATTTCTTCATGGGAAACCAGGGAATGACCAAGTCTTTTTGATTATGGAAGCTCTTGGCTCTCGTGTCCGATGTGTCGGCAACAGCAGATTAAAGGCTTAATGCGGACTCCGGCCGGGTAAGGTGTATGAAACTCACTCAGCGTTAACTTTCCCTCCTCAAAGAGGAGAGCGATGGTGTCTTTCATTTCTGTACGTACCTCTTAATTGGACGTCTGTTGGAATCATTCGTAGGGGCGCATTTTGGCAATAAAAATCATGAGCAGGACAATAAACTGGGTTTTGCACATTTTTGTCAGAAACGAAACTTGGTCTAACCGAGCTAAGCGAATGTGTTTTGTGAACACGCTGGAGAAGGAACTCGTCTTCATATGAAACAGTCTGCGAGAAAGACCTCTTCAGTGGGCATTTAGGCCTCCAGTTGATGCCGTAAAGCACGTTTTATTGATCCAACAACTGGACTTTAATAAGCCACTTTGAGTCATATAGAAAGTGTTGGTGACGCATTTCATATTCCTGCAGCAGCGGATGCCTTTGACGACAGAGAGAGGTGGCCATACATCTAGCCAGCACAGTCTTGTGCCTGTGCAAAGTGTTCATTCAAGCCTACCAGCAACAATGGCCCGAGCTGGACACAACATTTTCTTTCTTGCACCCTGCTACGAAACACAAACATATCTCAATGACAGTCCTCACCTGTTCTCTGGCCTAGGGATAGGGCCATATTTTCTCTCTTCTGATTGGCGAGTTTAAAATATCCTCAACTCCGCCATTACACCCATTATTCTTGCGATTGGTTGTTTATTGAAACTTTTGGATGTCTTACCGGGTCGGACAGGGTTCTGCAGGTGGTCTGGAATGAAAGGGTTGCTCACTTATAAATACACGCCTTCGGCGCCCAAACACGAAAATGCTTGTTACTGACCGTTATGAGAAGTGGCGGTTGCCATCACAATGGAGAAAAAAACGCTGACATGCCTGGGATTACAGAAACGTGCGAACGGGGATGCAGACCTGCCGGTAGACTAACACAAACCTACGAAGCTCCACAAGCTGAATAAATGTCAGTGTACAGCTTCACGTCGAAACGACTCATCGAGAACCAAACAAAGGTCCTTCAACGCGGATCCGGCTTTAACACATCCAACGTCCACCTGGCCGCTTTCTCTCATAGATGAGCCAAAAGGCTTCCTTCTGTGCCAAGGAATCTCGTTGCACCAAAAAACTCACGCAATGCCATGGAAGATGCCAAGGGCGTTAAAAGGCTCATTTCTAAAGCGGTTCTCTGAAATCTCGAAAAACAGATAGAAGAGGATATCTCAAAAGATTCCCGGGAGGGCATACGAACAGCAGCTAGCCTCTCTCTGCACTACAAGTGACCCTATGTTGAATTCCGGGAAAGGCACCTACTCCCGTGTCTTGAGCGTAACATTAACCCTAAACCAAACCTTAGGCGTAGATCGAATCTTAATCCCAATTCTAACCTCAGCCTGCACGCAGGCATAATTCAATCATACACGCTTTCCTCACAAACTGGTTTTAAGGCCCACAAGTTCATTTTGTAGAGAGCTATGCTCCTGGTATCCTTGTCGTGCAGAGGAAGAAGAGGAAGAATATGCAATCACTGGGACAGGGAGTTTGTTGGCTTGACGTTTCGGATTCCCACTCAAACCCAGCATCACCTGCGACTGTTTTGATGAGGGGTTCGAGTGAGAATTCGGAAAATCAGGCAAGTAAAATTCTTGCTTCAGTGAACGCATCTTGTTCTTCTTCTAAACCGTTCTCTGGAACTCAACTGATCGCTTCCATTGGATGCCTTTGTCGTTGTTGACCGGGACAAGATTAGTGTTGGCTAACCGACCTCCCCTGCCAGAAGTCATCATCCGCCATCAATCCAAGGCCGCTGACGACAAAGGTATACATGAAACACCGACCATAACGTTACAAACCAGAAGACCCAACGGCAACGGAGTTCTGTATGCAGGCCCTAGGGACGAATGGAAGCTTATTGCAGTACACCATTCGCTTAGCGGACAAAACCAAACGACGCTGGCAGCTTTCCACATCCAACACTCGTCTTACGACACTCGTTCGGAAGAACCGAGTGTCTCTAGGGTGAAGAAACAAACAGCCCCACCAGTCCAGATCTTGCTGATCATTCCGTGCATAAAGGGTGCCTCCTAGGTCATGGTCAGGTTCGTCGCGCTACTCACAATGGAAGTCCCTTACAAGATTTTCTAACAATAAATCGGCGCAGGATGCGTCCTAAAAGAGCCAGTCTTTAACGACCTGGAGTCAACCGTTGTCTACCAACTGAAGTACAGCTGTTAGGAGGGCAAGTGTGCTGGAAAATCCGACCGAAAACTCTGGACGAGGATGCCAAACTATCCCCTGGGCGTCAATACAATGAAAATACTAGTTAGTATTTTCCCCTGTTCTCTCTGCGTAAGGCAGAACCGGTGCGGTTGTGGGAAATGATGACACCTTTCACTGCGTATGATAAAAATGCATCAGGTGGATGCTCTAACGACCCGCAGAGGCAATGAACACGCCTCCGGGCTCCGCCTCCGCTTGCATTTTCTTCACCGACAGCGCTCCACAGCTCTAGTAGTTCCACACTTTGTCTGTCCCTCAGTTGAATCTAGGCGCCCATCATCCCCCACCGCATCAACCTCGGTCTCCTGGACACGATCGGACACAGCCGCCGGGGCTGAACCACCCGATGAGCCCTGATTCACCCGAAACTCAGCACTCCCCTTTTTGACGACATCGACAGGGAGTTGTGATGGTGGGAGGACGACGGGTCGAGAAGTTGAACTCGTCCGACTCGCTTTTTCACTCCCAACAGCGTCGTGAGAGGATTTGGGCGGAACTGGCAGAGGTCGTGAGCTGGCGCCGATGCCAGGATAGTCGATGGCTGTGGCAAAGAAGTTGGACATCGTCTTGGTGAAAGCAGCCTGTCCCTTGGCGGCCTGCTCTTGACGAAGGCGCTGCTTGGCCCCCAGAGCAAGCTGTCGGATCTGAGCTCCAAGGGCGTCCACTGGCTGGCCCTTGGTGGGCGAACAGAGGAAGAAGAACTTGCCGTCACCGGTGGAATAGCGACGACCCGTATCCACACGTAGTACGCCGCCGACACAGTCAAATCCGCGGGAAAATGAAAAGAAAAGTTCAGTAACGCTTAGCTTTCCTTGCGGGCCGGTGTGTGTGTGGCAGTTTTAAGACATGGGCAGATTGGATGGATTTCCTCCAGTATGAGAGCAATCCACTGATTGTGTTCTTCCAAGCCATATAAAATCACTTGCTATCACCTAAGTGATTTTCGCTAGAGTAAACCAAGGCAGTCTTCACAACGGGCACCAAACCAAGAAAACCAAGGGGAAAATCTTCAGTCTTCGGAATCGGAGAGATCATAAATCCTCGAGTAGAGAGATACTGGGCTAACATAATCAACCAGTGTATTCTAACTAGATTAAGTGTCACCTCGTTTCATACCAGCCTTAATTAATTCAATCATATTCCCAATCGTACTTCCGGTTGGTGCTGTAACACAAGTTGCATGGAGGCAATTATAATTCCAGAATGCTATTACTGTCAAAGACAAGGGAGACTGGAATGGCCATTTCTGGCTTATTAGCCGTCGTCAGCCAGCCATACCCAAGCCCGAAATGTGGAACACCTGGGGATCGAACTTGCGACCTGTTAGTTAGAAGTCCAACGCCACTACCCACCGGGTCACGAGCTCGTTTTCCTGTCGGTTTTTTATCAGGAATATACAATGGTAGGGGGCGCTCACCGATCGTTCATACGGAACTCACTCGTTGCGTTATGCCTTAACGGCTTTCTTTCTCGAGCCCAACCAGCAGCCGCACAGCGGCGCATGATATGCAGGAGATATCATAAATCCTAGAGTCTAGAGACACTGGGCTAACATAATCAACCAGTGTATTCTAACTAGATTAAGTGTCACCTCGTTTCATACCAGCCTTAATTAATTCTATCATATTCCCAATCGTATTTCCGGTTGGCGCTGTAGCACAAGTTGCATGGAGGCATTTATGATTCTTGCATAAAAAGCCTGGCAAAATACTCCAGGTGGTCATCTGATTTTTGGCGTGCATTACTGGACCGTCTTTTGTGATAAATGAAAATACGCTGATGGGCGAACCTTCTTGTATTCGACTCACGTCTTCTCTGTCTGATAAGACATTTCTGACATTGTGCAAAAATACAGAACTGCGTAACATGGCTGAAGAACGAAAGGACAATTCGTTATGGAAAAAGTACAGTATGTACGGCGCTGAATGTACTAACTTTTTCCACCATTTTAATTTCGAAAATATTGTTTCTAAATGTCGTAGGGAAGTCAAGAACAGTGTATACTGTCAAGTAAGAGAAGCAATCTACTTCTCTACATCCGACGTGAAATTGAGAAAGGTGATTAAAATGTTTCCTGACCCTACGCTTCGTCCAGAAGAGATCCACTTTTCTGCTGGAAAATAAGAGATAGTTTTTGCGGGCACCTGTGTCACAAATTCGGTAGTTTCGGATGGAACTAAGTGTCAGTTTTCGATCACGGTCACCATCATCAGTGTGTGTGTTTTTTAGGAGGAAACAGAGACCTTACAACATCATGCCAAATCAGGTGTGTTGAGGAGTACTAGGGCAAAGCGAACGGACAAAAGCATTCCAGGGTAGGACAAACTGACATCAAGACAGGATCCAGAGTACCGGAGGTGGGGGAGGGCGCAGGCAGATGGCGCGGTCGAACCCGGACCTTGGCGTTCCACTCCACACCCCCTGGTCCACACAGCAAACAACCGGGTTTTTGAACAACAACATCAACAAGAATTGAGAATTGAGGCTGGCGCGACCGAAGCGGCCCCTAGACGTGCCGCCACACCCGACTCGCATCCCATGCATTGGGAGTGTCATAGAGGCCACATGAAGAAGGCGCCATTGGAACCCAGTCCGCCACGCCAGACAAACACACACACCTGGGCAGACTGCGTGGATTGAGTTCGCGTGCCAGCCAGCAGACTTCCAGCCACGGCGCTGGCCGCGCCATGATTGCCTCAGGCACGAGTCTCCCATGCAGCAAGGAGCTGCATTCAGGCCAAGTCGAGAGGCACACTTCCCACTCACGTCATAGGTGACAAGTCGGCGCATGTATGGGTTAGGCTGAAATGTTGTTGAGGGAGGATGCGGTGGTGTAATGCACCCGGATTAGTGGAAGAACAGTCACAGCAAGACCGCAGTGAAGACCGAGTTGAGACTGCGTAATTCCCCTGTCAATTGGTTGATGCCCTCCTGGAAAACACACACACACACACGATAGTTCGACCATCGATTTCGACGATGTTCACCGTGTGCCCCACAGCTGCAGCAGCGGTGGGAGCAGGGACGGTGACTTGCGCAGGGGTTTATAGTGCCAGCAGACTTGCGCTGCATCTACCTACACTCTCTCCTCCTCCCCCGACTGAGACCGGTGTCAAGACCAAGTCAAGAAGACCGGAGACGGGGGAGGCCGCAGGTGGATGGCTCGGACGGATCCTCACCTTGGCGCTCCACTCCACACCCCCTGATCCACACACAAATCACCAGGATTTTGACCAACACAACAGACGGACTGCGTGGACCGAGTGCGGGCGTCAATCAGCAACCTTCCTATCCACGACACCTGAGTGTCGGGATAGTCTCGGACTCAAGTCACCCGTGCAGCCGGAGCCGCATGGGGACCGAGTCTAGACGCACACTTCCCACTTGCATGGGAGGTGGCAGGTGGGTGCTTGCGATGGGTGAGTTGTGATGGTGGTGGGGTGTTAGTGAATCAGGGAGGGAGGGAGGGTGTGATGATGTGATGCAGCCGGCGATTTTCTACCGCAGGTCATCGTGGATGCTCATGTGGCCGAACAGGCCCATGCGATGGCTGGAAGTGCGGGGGCAGTGTGGACAGTTGAGTCGAGCGTGGTGAGTATAGGTTGGTGCTCCAGACACTGGTTCGCCAGTCTCCGTGCGATGGATTCGCAAGTGACCGACCAGGCCGATGCGTGAGGTGAAGGTGCGGTCGCAGTGAGGGCAGGTGTAGTCCTGATCCTCATCGCTGGAGTCGGAGGCAGTAGAGGTGGTATCGGTAGTTGTGTCAGGGTTGGTGATGTGCAAGGCGGTCGCCTGAGCGGCCGTCCTTGGCGTAGTGGTGGAGGAGGAGGAGGAGGAGGTGGAGGAGAAGGAGGAGGAAGGAAGTGGTGGTACAGAACAACTGTCAGAGTTAGTGGGCGGCAGAGAGGACGAGGAAGAGGCGGACGGGGGGACGATGGTTGGTGCAGTCCGAGAGGCGCAGTTGATCCGAAGATGTCCGACAAGTCCAATCCGATCCCGGAATGTCCGTTGACACCGAGGACACGTAGGTAGCGGTTGCGCGTCGGCATTGCGTACTGGTCGAAGTTGTGATTTGCGGGCTTCGCGTTTCACTTTGGCGGCAATGCAGTTGGCTTCGTAGATCGCAGCAATTATCTCCACGCTCCTCCTCCAGGTCGGTCGGTCGAGTGCGAGCTCCTCCCAGTTGGTCGGGTTGTTTTGGAGACGCTTCAGGAAGGACTTAATTGTATCCTTGTATCGGCGAATTGGGCCTCCGTGGCGGCGAGAACCCGTCGCGACGTCTCCATAGAAGAGTCTTTTGGGTAGTCGCTCGTCATCCATGCGCACCAGGTGGCCGATCCAACGCAGCTGCATTTGTCTCAGCATGGTGTAGATGCTGAGGATTCCCGTCCGTTCCAGAACATCAGTGTCAGGGATTCGATCCCGCCAGTTCAGCCGCAGGATGCGACGAAGACAGCTCAGGTGGAAGGGGTTCAGTCGGCGTGCTTGCTTTGTGTATACCGTTCTAGTCTCCGCTCCGTACAGCAGCGTCGGCAGGATCAAGGTCTTATACATCTTCAGCTTCGAGGTCAGCTGAAGACCGTGGCGTTTCCAAACTTTGCTCTGGAGGCGACCGAAGGCTTTACTGGACTTAAAAATCTGGCGAGCTACTTCGACCTCGGTTTTGGTGCTACGGGTGAGGGTACTGTCCAGGTGCGGGAAGTTCTCCACCAAATGCAGTTGTGCTCAGTTCACGCCTATTTGTGACGGTGGCGGCGGTGGCGGCGGCGGTGGCGGCGGCGCGGTGGCTGTGCTGGGTGGCGGCAGTTGATGCATGACCACCGTCTTCTGCGTGTTGATGACCAGACCGAATTTCTCGCAGGCGGCGGAGAACAGGTACATGCCCCGTTGCATCTCCACTTCCGAGGTGGTGTTCAGGGCGTAGTAGTCGGTTGGAAGTGCATGCGCCATTGATTCAGAAGGGGCGTTCGTCGCGGTAGGCGTCCATCAGCATGGCAGAGAACATAAGACTGAAGAGGGTAGGCGCAAGCACGCATCCCTGCTTCACTCCGTCGGTCACTACGAATGCCTCTGAGACAGCTCCGTTGTCCGTGACTCGCGACATCATACCGTCGTGCAGCTGACGCACTATCTGGATGAATCGCTCGGGACAGCCGAGTTTCTGAATGATCTTCCACATTCCTTCACGATTCACCGTGTCGAAGGCTTTCGTCAGGTCCACGAAGGTAGAGTACAGGTGAGTCCGCATCTCCTGAAACTTTTCCTGCAGTTTGCGGGCAGTGGGGTCGTTTACATTGACATCTCCTAACTGGTCCCATTGTCTGGTACTCGCGCCTTCATGCCACCGTGGAGCCGACGTATCATTTGATGTAACCCTTCTTGCTTTCACACTGTCACTTACTTCACCGTTATCTATCCTTCCCAAGATTAAACCATAAGCCTGTATATTATAGAACCTTGTGTAATTTTCAAGCAGTGCGATTTTGCCCGGTGTTTGCCTAACTCTGGTCGACAACACAATCAACAGCAGACTATGCTTGACGTACAGCCGCTGAAAGACAACAATTCCACACCACCACCTGGATCACCTGTGGCTACATCGAACTTAGGCGAAGGGCTAGCGAAATTCAGTGCGGCAGTCGCTGTAAGACTGAAGAGAAGATCGAGTAGAGGGTGCGTCATCCTCTTCTTTCACGGGAATCGATGCCCCACCCTGATAACACGCAACACCAACGGGCCTGTAATCTGCACATACGAACTACCACCCAGCCAGCTCCCTCCCTCCCTCCGCATCGGATCAGTAGATTTTAGTACAAATCGGTGCACCTAGAGTGGCGTGATCTGCTCGCGTCTGTCACTTGGTTTTCGAATAGTGATATGAGCCCTAGTGCACTGAGTGCAACATTCATAAGACGTAATACAGGGCTGCAGGTTTGCAACTAGCTCGCGGGGAATTTACCTGACATCTCAATTTTGTGCCATAACTCAAGGCAAAACCACTGTATAGTCTAATATTGCCTATCTGTCAGAGCCGAGAGCCACTTCAATTTACAGTATATATTTCCTAAAGACTCACTCATCCACCTCAATCGAACTGTATAACCTCGGTGCCACGGTGTGACTAAAACCCACGACAGCAAGCGTTTTACTATGTCAAGTAATGCATATCTCCTTATTTTGACTCGCAAGGCGCGCCTATTGCAGCTTGGCCGACTATTGTCGATATTGCCTTATTCAACGCAAGTACACAGACCGGTTATTTTGATACCGATATGAAATACTCGGCGTCTCGATGGGGTCTAAGCACACGACAGTATGGGGAAGCCTTAGTTCAGCCAACGGTCTAGTCACCTGTGCTAAGAGGCTCCATCGGACGACGCTACAATTATCGTATCTGCCATACTACCTATGAATTAGCTGAGACTCGTAGCCATCAGGTGGATTCTAGATGTTTTACTTAGAAAATCATGCCTAGACATTCAGCTTACTGTATCAGATTAGGTGGATTCCAAAACTTGTTGTAGATCGAACGGGTAAACTTGATTTAGGTGTGATTAAACTCGCGTCGTGCGGCGGGGCCTCCTATTTTGGTGGCTAGATCGTTGGTTGTACGAAGGCCTCTCTTTGCTGTCGGCGGTTCGAATCCCACCAGATAGGGTTATGAACAACTTTGGAGACTGAACCCACTTATTTTTCAGCAGTAAAGCCTTCTTGGCACTGTCATTTTGATGTAAGGAGAATCATTCAATCGCTGCAGCGAAAATAATGTTCACTTGAGTTTCCCGATACCTTTTTGAACAAGGACAGCAACACATTGAAGTTGTGGACGTACAGAGGGGGAAATATTTATAAGCTGCATTTCCAATTATATCATACGCATGTTTATAATGATAACGCCCGCATTCACTGCAGCTTATCGTGATTCGTTTGACGATTTCCTGAGTAGCTATGCTTAAATTGTGACCGTCCGCGATCTAGCCGTTTATTAAATACTAATACCATCATTGGTTATAAAATCTGACTTTGGCGATTCTATGAATTTGTAAACTGAAATTTTTGTTAAAAACGCGGTCTGCCTGGCAGACTGAAGTCGACGAAATGTTTAGTTTAAAATTCATTGTGTGTGTTCATCGTTTCTATGTACAAGGGTTCTAAAATCAGAAAAAATTATTTCATTTTTCGCATCTTCTCTTACCCACCCTTGGTTTGCTGTCCTGGATTATGCATATCTAATTTATGCGAATATATCAACACGCTTATTTGAAAAACATGAAACCCATAACTACGTTATAAACCCGTATTGCACTTGAACATTCAGTTAAATCCTACTTGGCTAGACTTCGTGTACCTATGTTGGGTGAAACACTCCTTTAGATTGTCGAATCCACACTAATTTAACCTTGGAATGGCGTGTTTCATTGTTAATCACAACTCCATCGTATTTGTTTCACTTTGAATGTAAAACGGCTTCTGACCGCAAATTACCGATATTTACAATGACTAAATAATAATGCCTTCGTTGTCGAAAGGGAATCAAGTAAGTATGGAGAACACTGCGGTTTCTCTTAGGAGCAACTTCGGAGGCCGAGCCCATATAATTTTCAGAACTGGAGCTTCCTAAACAGTGTTATTTTACTGTGAGGAAAATCACTCGATCACTAGGGCCAAAGTAATGTTCACTTGAAGTTTCAAGTTCATTTTCGAACAAAGACAGCAACAGATTGAAGTTGGACGGGCGAACAGAGGGTGAAATATGCATGAGCTGAAATTCCTATACTATCACACGCGTATTCTTAATAAAAACGTCTGCACTCATGCAAATATTCGCACTTCGTCTCATGACCTGTCGAGTAGATATGTCCAAATTGTGACTGACGGCGATCTAACCGTGTTTTAAGTAAAAACACAGCCTCTTGTTTTCATAACCGTCTCTGGCATTGTTGACCTCGCCAAGTGACATTTTTGATGGAAACGTGGATATCTAGCAAAGACAAAGTCTACGTATGTCTGAAAGTCGGACAAAATGTTGACATTTCCTGAGTGCACGTCTCCAATTAAAGCCAGACGACCCCCGATCTAGCCCGCGCGTTTTTCCAGCGCATCTAATGCGCGATCGGTTTTAGGGACACTGCCATTGTCCAGTGACGTACACACGCAACACTTGCGCATCACGCCACTGACTACCTGCTGCCAAGGTCATCTAGGGGCGCATCTACTCGCATTCAGCTTTCGGCCATCTAGCGAAATCTGCCAGCTGCGTCATCCATCGAGCACGATCGATTTTCCCTCGCCAGGCGTGCAGGCCACCTCACGGTCCAGGGGCCATCAACTCGAGGTGCACCCCTGATAACTGACAGTCCAGCAGGTTCGCAACATGAAGCAGGGCCTTCCCAGGTAGTTAGTGCCGATTCAGTTAATCGTATCTCTGGTTACATCCAAATCACTAACCTGGTTTATATTTGAACATGCGTTATGTTAAATACCCTTGACATCATTCATGTGAGCTCGTCGTGCTCGGTGAAATCTTTGCTAAGCATAAATCCCGAGACAGCCCAACCGCTATATCTTTTTCAGAGGAAGAAACAGATCACTTTTCTGCTACGGAGACAGACAGCGTACATGTCGCCGACATCTTCCGTCGACCGAATACTAAGGAATGTAACGTTTCATGACATATCAGGTCACAATCACTTATGCCGAATTCCCTTAGTGGAGAGGGCCAAAAGCAACTCACACACCAGTCTATCGCATTTCGTGGGGGTGGGCTACATTTGCTTTTAGAAGTGGGAAACTATTAGGACTTGGTGACATCTGTCCTAATTCATAGTGCCAGGTCCGCCGTCCACGCTCTAACTGTTCCTGTAGCCTGTCGCCTCAGTAAGTAGTACGTGTGCCATTCATATTAACACACAGCCTCCCCGATCTGCGATCTTACTAGTGTTACTCACTTCGTCAGCAAGTTGGCATCTCTTTGCTAAACTAACCTCGACCACATCTCTCATTCCTCGCAGAGATATGCTAGAGATTATTTGTCACCCCAAGTGTTGGACACTTTACACCCTTTTGGCGTTTTTTTAACAAAAAAATTGGAGGCCATGTTTATTAAACCCGCTAGGGACACCTGGCAGTGAGAACATCTCCACCACTAAATCTAATTAGTCTCCAGTATCATATCCGCTGGCGACAATGATTTCTCCCCATAATCAGGCATCAATCCCGAAAACGAGCATCTCCCTCGTAAAAAATAACTGGTTCATGCATTTCATTCTTTTCAGAGATAATCACGCCATTAATCGGTTGCCTTAGGTGTTGGGCACTCCACACGCATTCGACGTTTTCAAAAAAACGACAAAACAGGTTACTTTGGAAGTCGTTTATTTCTTAACATGTGGGTCATAGAAGGAACATCAAGAGAAGCAGAAGTTTACATGCGAATGCTTGCAGCTCCAGCGATCTTTTCGAGCGTCTCCAGTGGTTTCTTCGACGACCAGCTCCAAGCTGTCAAGTCGTTGCTGACATCAGCTGGCCCGCCTGGTGCTGCGAAAGTCTCCACCGTGTTTCCTGAGCCTGCATATTGTGAAAAATTCCAGTGAAATTCTATCTTCATAAATATCAAAATAGTCAAAATTAGCATACGATTTGCACAATACCGCTGGACAAAAATTTATTTCAATAAAATGCAGAGCAGACCATTTGGCTGAATAATTCTCGTAAAAATCTACTTTAATAAGCAGACGATTTGCACAACAAATGAAATACCATCGGCCCTAACCTCGTTGTGTTCACGAAACGCCATGCAAAGTCACATTTTCACATGATTGTCATCACTAGGGATGTCTTAATCTTCCTCATAAAAAGGGACTAAGCAGAAAAGGACATGGAATGGCATGAAAAAGAGGAGAGTGGATAAGGAATGCAGTCAGTGTAGAGCAAAGGAGGAGGAGGCATCA